CAGATTTGGATTCGGCGGCTCAAGACACGTCCATATTTATACATCTCACTGCAAATGGCCGGATCGACCTGTTGGGGTTCCCTTGTCAGATGCAAAAAAGACTGGCAAATGTGTGGTGATATAGAAAACGTCACTTTTGATTGAAATAAGCCAGCATATTGAACTTCAGCCTTAAATTTACCCTGACTTTTCCTGTAACATCCAACTTTCAGATTTGATCCACGTACGGGAAGATGGGAGTTTGTTCGTCCGATGTCAACATGTCGAAGCGATCTAGGATCTGCAGTGCTCGATGGGCACTTGTATGCAGCAGGTGGAAAAGATGAGTCATCCAACCAACTTAGCTCAGTTGAGAAATACAACCCTCTTACTGATGAATGGACCGAAGTGGCTGCAATGAAGGAGAAGCGATGGAGATGTGAGTCTGCGCACAGTATTTCCTATGAATCACTTTGTTTCTACAGATGTAAGCAAAATCAACAAGATTTATTTGTAGGTGAAACTCGTCGTTGCCAATGAAAAACTTTATGCTGTGGGTGGACATGGCACTTCTGACCAGGATTCCGTTGAAGTTTTCGATCCTGAGACAAATAAGTGGGCTATTCACAGTTACCTGAATGAAAAGTGAGTCGTCATCACAGGGATCTTTTTATTTTCACATTCTCTTCACCTTCAATTTTGACTTTCCAGCATAGGTTAATAATGTTCCCCTTACTGATATGCTTCTAGACGGTTTGGAGCAGGTGTTGGTGTCATCCGAATGCCATTACCGTAATAGCAGCGGCAGCTGGAATGGGATTCAGGAGTTGCAACATCTTTTCACATCTCAGACCTGCATTCCTTCTGATTTGAAGAGCGCTCCCCACCTCTGAGATCGAAATGTTTTTAATCGTAGTATTACTTTTGATGGTTATATGAAGGGTTTTATTTGCATGTTTTTTTTCATTATTCTCTGCTTTTTTCAGAGAACAGCTGAGCAGATGGATCCTATAAAATGGTCCGAGATAGGCACCTTGAGCTTCATCGAAATAGAACTGTTCAAAGCCGTTTCAAGGCGAATATGGTGGAAGCGGAAATAACGCAGTGTATGGACTCGCACGTAGAAAGGATTGGTTTCCGTCGAACCCAATGTAGCCGTTCTTACTCTTTTCAAGGCACACTTCACAGTCGGATCAGTGCTCCTCAATAATGACCCTCTCTCCAAGATGACAGAACGACAGGGTGCACCAACGAGGAGCACGAAAATTTCGTGGTGGTCCATCCATGAGTTTTGCGCAAAATGTGCCGTTTTGTGTAACCGCCGCTAACTGGGAGCATTTAGACGGTGGTTTGAACTATGAGTTGGCGAAGCATTGTAAAAACTTACACGCATTCAGATGCTCTCACAATTCGGCACGAACATCAACTGGCGCATCTCAGAAGAAATACCTGTGGTGGCTTTCTCACCGTTTGTGGTAATTTCGAGGGGATTCATGTTCATCATGTTGTAAGAGGAGACGAAAATGAGAAGCACATGGGGCGCAGTTCATTTTTCGTCGTTGGAAAGGGAGTGCCCGTGAGCTTAGTTACGAGTCTAGCGACTACTGTGCGTCTTTAGAGAGGTCTCTGTTGAGCGCATTCTGCAGAGAAATGAGTGCTTACTTTGCCGTCCGCGCTCTCTTGTTGTCTGTATCCCTGCCCGAACTGGCAACTGTCCGCCGCCGCTGCGCCACTATTAATTCCATAGACACTCTCCCTCCACCAAAGACCGAGGTATGGACATTAGTATGAAGCCAGTGTTAACATTCAAAGGAAACCTCACCACATTGTCATCTTTCATCAACGCTCACGACATTTCATTGTAATGGAGGTACTGGTTGATAACTCTTACATGTTCTTTGAACCGTTTTGAAGTGAAGAGGAAGCAGAAAGTTATATGAAAGCTAAGGTCAGGTTCTGCACTCTGTACTGATGAAGTGGGTATTTCCTTCAGGAAACTGCGCAGCGGCCAATTATTCTGCTCCAAATGATGGAGTAAAACAGGTTCTAGAATAAGGACCATTCTAGAGGTTTTATGGGTGGATTCCAAATGTGATGAAGTTCCCATGTTGCCCCTTGTGGACTCTAATCAGGAAACATCACATTCCCCCGGAATATATTTGAAAAATCATTTCTCCAAATATATGTTATCCCCCACAAATCCTATCCGCAGCCTCATCGTGGCGTGGGGGTGAACGGTTTTGGACTGTTCCAAAAACGTACCAATGCGGAGGGTGCCACGTCAGAGCCTGGCGAGCTACGCGTGGTTAAACTTTCTTCTCGCCGAAAACAGTAACAATTATGGGCCTCATTCCCCTGAACCACCGACAGGGCGACGTCGGCTGGGACCGCTCGGGCGAGGCTGCTAAAATCACAGGGCCAACGGAGATTCAAGTCGCCCAGGACTAGGATGACGATCTGTACTTTCAACGCACGGACGCTTGCATCGGAAGCTCACATCGAAGATCTGATGTTGCAAGCCAGGAAGATCAAGTACGACGTCATCGGACTGACCGAGACGAGGCATCGCCCGCTACACGCCGTATACGAGACTGGAGAAGAACTGTTCCTCGGAACATGCGACAGCAGAGGCGTTGGCGGTGTGGGCGTCCTCGTCAACACGCACTTGGCCATGAACATCGATTCGTACGAAAATCTGACGACCCGAATCGGACGTTTGCGATTGAGAAGATGTGGTTCAACTCCAGCTTGACAATCTTCGTCGCCTACGCACCAACATCAAGCTACGACGAGGATGAGCTCGAAGCGTTCTATATGGAATTGGAGAAGTTCTACAAGGAAGATCATACCTTCTTCAAGGTCATCGTCGATTTCAACGCTAAGATCGGACCAAGAAGAACGGCTGAAGAACTTCACATCGGAACTCACGGAACGGAGTGGAATGAGCAGGGTGAAAGGCTGTCTGAGTTTATCATGTCGACCCATACCATCCATGGTAACTCGCAGTTCCAGAAGCCCTACTCTCTACGCTGGACATGGGAGTCTCCTGGTGGACAATTCCATAACGAGATCGACCACATCATCTTCAATCGAAGGTTTTGCCTGACCGATGTCGCTGTCGTTCTGCAGTTCTACAGATCCGACCACCGTCTCTTTCGCGCGAGATTCCGCTCTTCGAAGCGAGGAGAGAGAGCCGCAAAGTTCAAGAA